TTTTTTGGTTGGTTAAATAGTTATTTGGTTTTTCATCAATTTTAAACCAAATTTATCCAAATCAAAATTTCGTTTTAGTTACAATTTTTATCTTAAAGGGTTTTTCTTATCATAAATTTGTATTAAAAAAAATAAAAATTGATATTTAATTTATTTGTTGTCCAATTAAAATTATCTACTTAGTATTGATATTAAAATTAATATCAATTTTTATATTTTTCTATTTATATTTGTGATTAAAATGTGCTCTTAAGACATAAATTAGAAACATTCTATCTTAAAACTAAATAAACCAAAATGAACTTCCAATTCAGTCGAATTAACAAAAAAAATTTCAGTTTAACTAGAAAATCATACCGAACTGAATTTGTTAATAAATATCAAAATTTTAATATAACATTTTAATAAATTTTGAAAATTCAGTTAAAACCAAACCGAACAAAAAAATTTTGGATAACCAAACGGAACTTTTGAATTGTAATAAGGTTTGAGTTTGGTTTTAAAAATAATAACCAAAAATTTTGGTTCTGTCACAAAACAAGACCGACGCCGAGGGCTAGTCTTAAGTAAGCAGAAGTATATCGGAAATTTTTGCTGGTAAACTGATAAAATTTGGAAGACAAGGGCAAAAGAAAATGGCAAAATGGGCTTACCCGCAGTCAAACTTGTACTTTGTGGATGATTAGCCCCTGAACATTATTTTGTGAAAAATTAACCCCTTAACTCTGCAATTGTGGCAAATTACCCCTTTTCCGTGAGATTACGTCACTTTATATCCAAAACTAACGGATGCTTGATTTATGAAGATCCCGCTGCTGAAACGGACATGAAATGACATAGACCCATTACTCGGTTAATTGCAATTAAGTACTAATTAAAGTAATGAACTAAACAAAATAAATTGTAACGCGGCCACGCAGCGAGCACAGAGTGAACCATTGTTTGGCTTTTTGCTAAAGAGAGCAGTGCTAGGGGCATGCGCCTTTTTGCACTCTCCGGCCAACACTTCCTCTTTTATTGGGCCACGTAAGCTTCTTTAAAGCCCTAAGGCGCAATCTCTCGGAAACAAAATAAATTGTAATTTACTTTTTTTTTATAATATAATTTGAAAAAAGTGTATTTTGGTTAGGTTGCAAAATTTAAATATTAAAATTATTAAAATATTTTTAATAAATTTATTAATTAATAATAATTTAATAAATTTAATTTTCAAACTATATTTTAACGTACAATCTTGGACTTGAAAACATCACACTCATATTATTTTACTTTAATAAACAAAATAAATATAAAAAATTCAAATAAAAAAATAGAAAACCCATTGCCGGAGCAATCAATGTGCTCCGACCCAGCAATGGTTCACCGTTCACGTTCAGCATCGAGCCCCCATATTCGGCTGCCATTCTCAAAACTTTTATTTTTCTTTTTTTTTACTCATTTTAACCCACAATTTATTGGCAAAAAAATCCTAATTCTTATTTACGATATTTTCCAGCCAAACTCTT